CCTAGCCAGGCGGGAGGGAAAAAATGAGCCCTAAAATCCCGAAGCCCTAAACCGATAAGCTCTAATCCCTAAATCCTATTATAAGTCCCTGACCGCTAAACCCTGAACCCCAAAGCCTCAAAACTCTCCTCTTCCTAAGCTCGAGGCCTCAGCCCTTGACAAAAAGCTCTTGAACCCTCAGCTCCGAAGCTGGGAAGCCGAGGCTAATGCCCTCAACCTTGAACCCTAAACGAAACAACGAAATTGAGGCTTGACGCGCAAGATCTGAGACATCGCATTGCCCTGCAATGCGGGCTTGTCCTTGCTAAGTAGGAGGCAAAAAACAAAACAACCCTAAAACTTCCTCCTTCTCTTCCTCTTCCTTTGAAAGCGAGGCTTGTATCGCAGCGGTTGCGCCTCGATGGCCACATGCTCGGAGCTCGGTCTATCCATAATATATATATATATATACACCCCAGTAGCCTACTATTTAGGTAACTGGAGCCCTAGGGGCTACTATGGGCGTTATGCTGCAGGGGAGGGCTTTCGTAATTAGAGTAAGGTGTTGGAGTCCATTTTCGTTTCATTACATTACCACTGTAAGGGGATGTTATGCAGACTATACTCTGCAGTGTGGGTTCTGTTAGTTAGGACCCTATGAGAAGAAGCCAAGTAGCCAGAAAACAGGTGCCTTGTGTGCATGGGCCTCGGCAACACAATTTCTAATCCTAGCACCTTCCGCTGAAATCTGCAACGCGAAATCGCTACTACCCGCAACTAACTAACAGCATCGTCCGCTATCATCACCATCGCTGTCACCCAACTGAGCGACACCACCGAAGCATCATCGCCCTACCTGCGAACCATGAAATCCCGAGACCCGGGAGCTCCAGTCAAGGCCACTCGTTTGCTCGCGGACCTCCGCGGCGCTCTTCTGGAGGTTACACCGGCCTTGGCGACCGCCGCTGCCTGGTTCGGGTTTGATGGAGTGAGTGCTGGTACGAGTAATTACTGCTGGTGGTGACGACAACAGCATTGACAGCAGGAAGGAGCCTTGAAGGAAGCTTTCAGAATTTCAGAGGTTGCTCCTTTGCTGGTGGCCGGGGAGCAGTTCGTGCAGCTGGCAGAGGACCCAGAGCACCTACAGCCTTGACACCAAAAGCAAGCCCGGTACTTCCGGACTCGAGATGATTGGAGTTGGAAAGCCTTGCTTGACCCTCACGGAATCCTTATACCTCTCATGCAGAGCCTGTGCCAAGGGCAGAAGCCCATGCAGGAGTTGGACGACTGCGCTGGCTGGGTCAGAGTGCTGCGGCCTTGAGAGTGCGAAGTTCGCCAGTTCGCCGTTTAGGTGCAGACCCAACACCCCGAAACCCCGAAAGCACTACAACCGGCGCACTTAGGATCTACTTACCACGTTGCTTCACACTTCGGGTGGGGATTGTTGTGATTAGATGAGCAGGTTCAAGACTTGAGCATCGCTTCGCCACTGGATTTCCTTTCTGGAGTAGCTGCCAGTGCAGAGTGGCGAACTCACTGCCTCTTTCATGATGAGCCTTGATAGTCACAAGACAACCAGTTCTTGACCTGGGATAGGCAGGGGACTAAACGCCACCTGCGACTTACTGGCCAGCATGCCCATTCAAACACCCTCCGACTAGGGATGAAGACTGGATACACGCAGATTTGGACACCACTTCTGGCGCCTGATCTTGCCTCTCGCTGGACACCGACTTCCAGCAGCTGTTGGTATCGCGCTCGTACAAGCTAAATGGCCTCGCATTCTTGGGTCAACCGTCCTTTTCACGCTTTTCCCAATCGTCAATGATTCAGTGGAGCTCGTGTGTGCGTCTCTGTGTGTGTGTGTGTGTCACAGTCGTTTCGTCGTGGTTGCATGTACCATGTCAGTTTACTTCAGTGTCTTCTCGAATTCCAGCCGAAAGCTCTTAAAACCCCAACTTGTGCTCTGGGTTGTCGGGTCGCTTTAGTTTTTGCAGCCGCTCAAAGTCAGCGCGCTGCTCCCTGGGCCGAGACTGAGCCGAGGCTTCAAAAGGCGTGCCTTTGCACACCATAAGAGTAGTAGTCAGTGGTGCTATGGTAACTAGTGCCGGTATGAAGTGGCAGCACTGCTAGAGCTCGCGCCAGCGTCAGTGCGAATGCTGGCGCTGATGCTGGTGCTGGTAGTAGGACCAGCAGAAGCAGCAAGAGTATATAGCAGTGATAGTAGTCGTCGTCGTCCTCGTAGTCGTAGTCGTCGTCGTCGTCGTAGTAGTAGTCGCAGTCGCAGTCGCAGTCGCAGTCGCAGTCGCAGTCGCAGTCGCAGTCGTAGCAGTAGTAGTAGTAGTAGTAGTAGTAGTAGTAGTCGTAGTCGTAGCAGTAGTAGTAGTAGTAGTCGTAGTCGTAGTCGTAGTAGTAGTAGTAGTAGTAGTAGTAGTAATAGGAGTAGTAGGAGTAGTAGGAGTAGGAGTAGTAGGAGTAAACGGAGTAGTAGGACTAGTAGGAGTAGTAGTGGTAGGGGCAGCACCAAGAGCAGCAGTAGAAGTAGCAGCAGCAGCAGCAGCAGCAGTAGTAGCAGTGTGGTACAGCTGCGGTAGTGATAGACTCTCTTCGAGAGACTTTCGAATGGAAACCAATAACACCAAGACATCCCCCAACCCTACCCCTACACCCTTGGACTCTTTCCGGCTGAGCCATTCTTCCATTCTTGTCGGGGTCGTGTGCTTTTGTTTGAAACCTGCGGTTGATCATCAAGAATGGCAGCGGCCAGTGAAGCGAAAGCGGTTTTCAACATGCATGGGATTCGTGGACGGATTGTTGCATTTGTGGAACCAGATTGAGAGCTTTGCTTTCGACAGGAAGCCTTGGACTGAGATGACGAAACAGGTTTCACCAGTTCACCTAGAGCAGACGTTTACGTGGGAGTTTCAGCTCGTCATGCTTTCGTTGACAGTCTCATGCATAGAAGCAGCATGATGCGATGGAGAAAACAAACGTGGTCTCATGAGTCATGAAATCCTGAAGAGAAGAATAGACAGCCAGAGCTCAAGAATACTCGGCACACCTGCGTGCCGCTTCCGGAGCCCGTTAGACTGACTTGTAAAACATTTTACAGTATTGCAAAAAATGGAATTTCAGTATCGATGTAAGAGTTTGTTTTACTTCAATATACGAATCATATTGAACTCACATAATATACGATAGAATCAATACAGTGCTTGTATGCCAGATCGCACCAAACCTAATCTAGGTCACGTCAATACAGTTTGTTGCTTCCGCCTGTATATTGCTTTGAAGCCCACTTGTACGTGAAGACTTGGCCCTCTAGCCCCCCGCCCCCGCCGCCCCCACGACTCGCGAGCTCCCCGCAGCCAATTCCGCAACGGCAGCTGCTCAGAGTTCGCAGAAAGCTGACTAGCCCGTTAGCTTGCAGCCGGGTTCTCAGAGTGACTTGTGCTCAATATAAAAAACGGTGATATGCTAGAACTATACTAGATTAGGCCTAGGCACAACCAGGGAATCCGGTTGGCACAATTCAAACTTCTATAGAGCTCTGCGTATCCTAATTAGTAGGGTTTACGTTTCAGGATAGTGTTGTGCTAGCGGAGTTCTACACAGGCTGCAGTCAGAGGTTAGAAACAACGGATAAGCCTTGAACAGAAATCCTAAACATTTTGGGGTTCTTGGGTTAGTTGGCTGGAAGTGAGGTTACTGCAGATGATGTTTTTTGAGAAGGATCGTCCATTTCGGGGCATGACTCAACGAAGGTCGTGCTTTTCCATCGTTAGACCTGCTTTGCTGCCAGGCTTGTCCCAATCAACCCTAAACCCCAGTTCCCCCTTGCTCCCATCAAAAAGGGTGTCCTGACTAGGGGCTTCTCTGCTTCTCCAGTGTCTCGGCGCTAGAAGCCTGGGGACCTAAGTTGCGATGCTCCTGCCAGCCGCAGACTTCAACCGCCCAAACCTCCAAAAGAGAAATTCGAAACAACCACAAAAACCCTTTGGACCCCAGAAATCCTAACAGCCCTGTTCGCCCCGTGTCAGATGTCGGGCACACGCAAACGCCAAGGCTTTAGGGTTCAGGTTTTCGGAGGGTGTGTAACCGATTGGGCGAGCAAGTCTTTGTGAAGGATGACTCATTCACCCGGCTAAAAAAAGTACTCTTTGTATCTTGTCAAGTGTCCAGGCAATATGTAGCGTAGGACAGTTCTGCAGCCTAGCTACTACCGTTTGTGCTTCGCAATTTCGAGTTTTCGCTGAAAGCCGTTCGAAACACCAAAGTTTAATACGCACAGTCCAGAAGTAGGGGTGGCGACTATATAAGAAAGTCCGACATCACGAAATTGAAAGTGCTGTAAAAACCGAGTAAAACGGCTGTTGTGGTGATATTGTTGGTTGTGTTTGCGCGACACTGTCGTCACCATCCCCCCCCACTCTCCACCCCCGCCAGAAGCAAGTCCAAAATCAAGAGGCCGAGTTTGCAAGCTCGACAAGTCGATTTTGAGGCATCTTATGATGATCGTACATGACGAAAGTGTTGTAAATACTGAGTAAAAGGGATGTGCTCTTAAGATGGTTTAAAGCACGTGTAGTTGGTAGGGGGGTGCCTACTACTACTACTACTACGACGACGACTACTAGTACTACTAGTACTACTAGAACTACTAGTACTACTAGTACTACTAGTACTAATAGTACTACTAGTACCCGTACTTGGATGACGAGCTTGTATTTATACTGCGTCGTGCGAGGTCCCGACGTCCGTGTGCCACTCCAGCGAGTTCGGCAAGGACGACTCTCGACGTGCCTCGGCACGTTGCAATTTGAGAGTTCAGCGTTGGGGGGGGGGTTTAGGTTTCGGGTACAGGGTGAGGACTGGTGGGCTTCAGGGTTTAGCGCCAGATGGTTGCTCTTGCTTTAAGGGCGGCTGGGGAGATTTCGCAGTTGCCGTGCAGTCCAAGGGTTTGCTGGCGTGGAAGCCAGGTCTGCAATTTCTGTGTTTCTTGCGACTGAGGATACTTCTTACCTGCAGCCTAAACCCTTAAACCCGTCAAACCTTGCAACCGTTGAGCCCTCAAGCCGAAAAGAGTAAATCCCTAATCCGGGTTGGCTTCGCCGCTCTTGCTGCCCTCGGCGTTCGCAGAGCTTTTCCCTCTTCACTTAAAGCTTTAGGATTTACAGGCTTCAGGGGCAGAGTAATATCCTTAAACCGCTAAGCCCAAATCCGTAAAATGGTAAACCAGGTTGGCTTTCGGCGCTCTTATAAGCTACCGATGAAGTCTGAGGGTTTACAGGGTTCAGGGGCTCATCATGGCTCATGGCTTTGGCTGGGCTATCTCTTCCCTCGGTGCCAACCCCCGATGCCCAGGCCGCCTTTGTGGAGGACGGCGACATCGTCGTGCACGTCAACACCCCAGCTGCCATCCTTTGGAGGATTCGTGCGCAGCTTTGTGTGCCCTTGTGCTGTGAAATTTAGGTCTACCGGCGCCGCGAAATTGCGGCGTTCAACGACGTCATGGAGGTGGGGCTTCCGTGTGGGTCGAATTGTGATTCCGCAGAGTCACTATATATCAAATGCCTTCCAACCCGCAAGCGTAAGCAAGCAGATACTCATCACTCACGAATGGCTTGGGCCCATGTGGGCTGCCGGGTCTTCAACCATCTTCGATCCAAGGCCACAAGCCCAAGCTTATATGCCGGACCCTAAGCCAAAAAGCTGGATCTTCGCACTTTTGTGATTGCTTCTGCTCTGGCTATTCGCAGCTCGGTGGTGCGTGATTCCCAAAGCAGAGTGACTTGTTGTTCCTTGAATGTAACCCCAAGTGTGACACAGGGGCGGCCGTCTGGCTGGGACTTCGAATGGTGAGGAGACGCACTTGGAGCCTTGTAGTAAGTAAATAGAAAGACCCGAAACCCCAGACTCTTTGAAGCTGAACTTTTCTTTCCTGACATGGTTTCTTCCGGTATTGGTCCCTGCAACGTGGCCTGAGTGTTTTGTGACATGTGCAGGACCCGAAGCCTCTCTTGTGTGTTTAGGGTAAAACTCCAGCGACTGATAGGGTTTAGAATGGTTTAGGGATTTAGCAGTGCAGAATTCTGCATGTGGGTAGTTCTCTCAACCAGAGTGCTTTGCTTGGACCCCGAACACCCTTACATCCTACACCTTCGAGCCCTAGACAAATCTAGAGCCAACCAGACAGCCTTGACTTCGAAACCCAAGCATAAAACGGAAAGAGGGGTAACTGCCAAAAAAATCCTAAGCCCCGGAAGATGCCGGGAGTAGCGGCAATCAAAGCCTCGGGTACTGGGTCCAAGGGTTAAGTAGCATCGCGTTGTGTTTAGTCGCATCGGTCCCCCGTGCCCATTCATTCGGGGTTTCTCAGTTTGGGGATCGGCAATTTCAGGCGGCTTGGACCATCTTGGACCGGGCATTCATCTTCGTTCGTACGAGCGTGGGTTCGTAAACCCAGTGAGCTTTGAGTGATTAGAGCCTTTTTGCACAAGGGCGTGTCCCGGCACATCCTATAGGCTCAGTGGAGACTAGACCGACAAGTGCGGCGTTGGGAGGACCGATTCAAGTTGGGCTTGCAATGCAGTTTGATTGCGAGGCTTTGATTTGCGTGAATCAAGGGAGTTTGTGTAGCTTCTCTGCCGCCGGAATTCTTCCAGCAGCGGCGAGTGCGGGTTCGGTGTTGGTGAGGGTGTCATTGTTGTCCAGATAGCGGCAGCACGTGTGGTTTCCGCGAGTCGTCCACCGAAGGTTGATATTCTGCAAGATGACCAATCATTTTAAGCAGAGTCAATAGACTAGGGCGAACGGTATCAGGGTTTATCTCGCAACTGCCGGCCGCTTTTGAGTATCTAGTGTGAAAACTCGACATCCGGATTGGTCTGCATGGACCCGATTAATGCGGCGTGGCTGCCTGCGATGTACCGTATTTGATAGCAAGCCTTCACGCATACGCAGTTGACTAGCTGTGCATGTGAGTACTGCACTGCACACAGCGGACGGCACAGCTTATGCCCCTTTCCCTCTTGATTCAGGGCGCCGTGATGCCCATCTGTTTGTTTTCCCGTACGTAACATGTGATCTAGATGCTTGCTTTCGCCTGGCGTGACACGGGGATTGGCAGGACTCGCCACCGGGCTATGGCGTCCGCCCGGCGCCGAACTCGGCCTTCCAGGTTATGCAAGCGATGTGTGGGCTTGCCATCCGAGCACTGCACAAGGTCGGCTCAAAGAACTCTCAGGCAGGGGCTGTTGCGCGAGTCATCAGGTGATCGAACGCTCTGGGCCTTCGTGGGTCTTGCAGTTCTGGTGTCTCGCGAGGGGTTTCCAGATGTCCATTGTATGTGGACACAAAGTTGTACGCGTGCGACAATACCTTTGCCCGTGCACAGACATCCGGGTTGTGAAGTGTGTTATGTCCGCTGTCCTGCTGAGCG